ACAGCTTGCACGGACGGACGGACAGACGGACGGACAGACAGATATCCGGATTTCAACTCTACTCGTCACCCTGATCACTTTGGTATGTATAACCCTATATCTGACTCTTTTAGTTTTAGGTCTTACAAACAACCGTTATGTGAWCAAAACTATAATACTATCTTTGGCAACTTTGTTGGGAGAGTATAAAAAGGAAAACCATCTATGGAAACAGGGAAACCTCCCGTCTCCTGAAAACACCAAATATTGATAACATCAATGCTATCAACAATTTTCWTAAGATATGTAAGATAAATAACATTTAATATTATAAGCAAATAAAAACTAAGTATTAATTTTAACTTAATTTTAATTAGACATAATTATTGTAACAGATAGCCGAAGGCCCTAGTAGCCAGTGCTTAATCTTTGTGTACTAATTATTAATAATTAGTTCTCATTTAAATAAATAGATAAATAAATAAAAAGCATTAAAACTTCGTAATTTATGGCGCTTACACAATTTTACTCTAACATTTTTCATTAATTTACTAAGTTAAAGTGTGCAGTGATAAATATTTAGAAAATAAATTGTAGAATATTCCTTTATTATTTTTACGAGTACTTACGCTGACAATATGAGCGAAAGCAGTAATAGTGAAGTTATTAAGATTGTCCATAATTTTATTCTCCTGCATGTTTCTGATTCACAATTACATCTTTTGTAGTACCATACTAAGAAAAGAATCCTGCAAATAGAAGCATAATTTCTTTATGCACAATATATAATTACATTTGTTTCATCTAAAATTAATCGAGATAGATATGGAGATATATATATAAATGATCGGTATGACGAGACGAGTTGAAATATGATACTGCCTGTCTGGTCGTAAAGCGGAAACTTTACTAAAATGGACATATCTTGATGAAACATATTCCCTGACATGCGGGTAGGTATTGCAGAAGGGCGAAATCGGAATATTACCACACCAACAAAACGCCATTAGTCGAAAGCCTACAAAGTGCCCTAATTAAGCACTAAATTAAAATACAAACCTGTGGGCTAAAAGTGTGGCTAAATGTACATATTTTACAAACTGATTAAGCTAACGCCACCATACCTACCCAGCAGAATTTCCTTTACGATTTCTTCATACACTCTGAAAATATGTAACATAAAGTCAGATAATAATCCCATCCATTCTCTCCATAAAACGATAATATTGAAATTACAAAAACTGCAGTAAGTCACTGAATAATTTCGACACAAGCATTCAATTTCACAAATTATATGGTAGGAAAAGGCTTTGTAGGAGCAGATGATAAAATTGGACCTTGAGAGTAGGACCGGTCACCTTTGAAGGTCCGTATCTCAGGAACTATTTGACCAATTTAAAATTTTTCCTATCATACACTGTGAAAGGGGGTGTAGGAGAAAAACTACGCCAACTTCCCATATAGCAAATTTTTTAATTTAATTCTTAATCTTACAGTAAACAAGTTCGACTTCGATGAAGGTTGAATAAAACTTTACAAAAATAGTGTTAATTTTTGGTAAACCTATGCGATCACCAAGGGAATATAAACAATAATGTCAAATTAAGAAAATTATGTCAATATAAGAACCCCCAATTGTAATAACCTTATTCAATAGTACTCACATGACTACTCATTCAATACTTACATCATTAGTAATACGAAAACACATAAAATAGCCAGTACTATAAGTATATCAAATACTATAAATAATTCGGCGAAATCTTGCTTATTCGTTCTCGGACCATAGGTATCTCCTTTCACATAGCCTGAAAAATAAAAACAATATTTTGAAGTTATTTACTAAAGAAAATATGAAAGGAACCGAAGACATGATATTAAGCCCACAAATCGGCAAAACACAAAACTTCCCATATATAACGGATAGATAGCATGAAGAAACCTATGTGAAATATTTCATCCAGGTCAAACAAAGCTTTTCAGTACCATAGGCCTTCGGTCTTTCGGTGATGATATGGGAAATATGGGATTCTTGAAATATTTGTAGTTAACCCAAGATATTTCAATTGTTCGTAGGACCAAAACAGGTCACAATGATTTAGACCGTGTGTTTTAAAGATCCGATTACTTTTGATTACATATCTTGAAATGAAAAATCTGAAGTACTTACCGGCTGGTATATCACTAGTTCCAAAGTTGTCTAAAAAAAATTGCGTCAATTCTTTGAAAGCAGGCTTAGGTGTACAGTTTACGTTATCCGAGTCCATCGTACTGCGAAAATACTTCATTATTTTAATATATGTACATATTTATCTTATGAAATTATGCTCAGGTAAAGTTAATTGAATTCAATATGCTTGGGGGGAAATGATTCCGAAAAATAATATATGTAAAATATTCTTTCAATATATGAACACAAAAATATTTTTTCCGTCGTTATATATTCCTTCACTCAGTTTTATTTCAATTACAAGGTAAATTGTTTGGTGTAAAGTACAGAAAGCTCAAGATTCACACTTTTTCAATGAAATTCTCTCTGTTGGAAATGAAACTATATTTCCATTATATTTTTAAGAAGGGTTAATATTTTTTTGGTTCAAATAAGCATCATCTTTCAATATTTATAATTCATAGTCTTTCAACTTGCAAGTATCAAAGCCGAGGCAATTCCTTCAGGTGCTGGCACAATTTGTGGGGATTGTTTAGTAAATAAGAAAGAACTCAATGCAGAAATAGGAAGGATCGAACTTTTTAATATCTCGGTAATTTGACAGTTCAAATTAGGCAGTCATTTTGGTTTTTCGCATTATTGAACTCAATGCAGAAAAAGGTGTATTTTATTTAAAGATTTACAAAGAAATTAACAATCAAAAGTAATTAAAAACATTACTAGTGGCTTTTATAATTCATAAGTAATATATGTGCGTGAAAATGTATCCATAATATGTTTGGTACAATGCACAACAGATGAAAATACACTATCATATATTTAGAAATTTGCAAAAAATAGCATTTTTTAAAGTGAATTTGTGAAAAAATTTGTGAACCGATTTTTATAAAATATATTTTAGAACAAAGCATACACTCGTTTAAAATTTTCCATTTGCTTCTCTCGTTTAGGTACGGTGAGCCAAAATTAACCGGCGCGATACTAAACACAACCCCAAATTGTATTCAAATATGTTGCGAGAGAATTAAATTTAGTTTTATTGTTGTATTTTTGTTTGTGACATTAATAAAACGGAAATCATTTTATGGATTATATTGGGGACAGAACCATTTGATAATGCTCAGGTATGCTCGACACCATATTTTGAGGCAATTTTATGTAAGTATGTATAAATAATACTCAGTGACCAATACATTCGGCATTAAACTTGTTACAATAGCGAAAATAATTATATGTATTAAATGGGAGTTGGGCGTAGTATTGACGCGATTTTATCTAAGACTGCCTACAATTAATATGCCAAAGGCTAAAAAAATGTAGCTCACATACTATCGGCAATGATATGAAGAAAAGTCTGCCGGATATTCGAAAATATTGAAGTTAGTTATAAGTTATATTTTATCCATTTTAGGTACAAAGATACGCTGTTATGAGGAAAATCCGCTCCCTCAGTTTATTAAGATAACTACCTTATTGTCTGATATAGACAGTATTAAGTCACAAGGGAGTTTGAAAGTATTTATACATATTATGTACATATATCCGATCCGATTCAAACCAATTTTAACACACTGACACTTTGTTTTAATGCTATGAAGACATCCTATTTCTGTGAAATACTGAAAAAAATGTGTTACCATTCTAAAAACACATTACGGTTATTTAAAAGCTCTACAAATTTTTTCTAACTGTACTCTTCCTACTATTGTAGGCTATTTTTCATTCCTATAAATACACTCATACCAATCAGTGCAATTTAGAGTTATAAATTAATTTTATTAAATTGTGTTAGGTAATCCGAGAATGCCGCGCAAAAGCGTACTTAACGATAAAGAGAAAGTCTATAGCTAGACGCTTGGACTGGTGAGGGTTTGACCGATTGCCGATTGCTCGGAATTTGGAAAGGTCGGTAATTGTGATGTGTAATTACCTGAATAACAAAGACAAGAAAGGTCAGAGAACTTACTCTGGTCGAAAAAAATTAAGAAAAATAACACGCGACAGGCAAGAGAAATTTGTTGACAGTTATCAAAAAAATGACGTCAATACGGAAAGTGAAAACCAAATTTCTGCATCTGCTTCCACAATTTGGGTTGCTGTGAAACCGTTTATATTCCCTTCTTTCCGAATGAATAGTTCCGAGTACCAGAAGGCATTAGAATCAATTCTGCTACCCTTTCTTCAAGACAACGCAAGAATCCTTACCAGCAGGTCAACCAAGACGTGGCTTCAACGTAAAAATATCGATTTTTTGGAATATCCAGATTGTTCTCCTGATGTAAGTCCTATTGAGAACCAGCTGGAGATGGCTGGTAAGAAATGTTTACGAGCTATTTTGGATAATGGGCTTTATTAACCCCAGAAATACTTTTTCATTTTTTTACCTGGCGGGTCCCAAACCCAGCGCAGAATCCTGAGGAGGCGATGTTTCGCCTTCTCATTTTAACTTGCGTTTAAACGGATGTTCTATGGATACCTAGAGGATACTTGCTCTTGGCATTGGACCAACGTAAACGTGTAAATTTGCTGTTTTTGCCTTGGAAGACCTTTAAAACGAAACGATATTATTTATGAATAACCATACATTCAGCTAAATTGAAAGTTCGGTGTAGTTTTTTGTGTGGTGGAATCAAATGCAGCTGGTGAAACCGTTACTGTCAATAATGGGCAGTGCAGATCGATGATAACCAACTTCTTGTAGCCGCAATTGGAAGAAGTTGATCTTGACAACATATGGTTCCAGCAAGACGAGGCTACTTGATTTGGTAGAAAAGGTACTCGAAAATTGGGTACATCGAATTCGTTACTGCAAAAGACGTAGTGGACGCCATTTGAATGTATGTAGTGAGTCTCAAAAAACAGGCTATATATGTAGTTAGTCTCAAAATGAGTCATCATCTATTCCACCATGAATGCGGGATCGGGTTCGCCATCTCCTGATCACTGATTCACTGTCATTTATGGGACTGTAAAATTATTTTCTCCATAAATTCAGTAATCCTTGCCGTACCTTTTCTAGAGTTTTCGAGCATTACCGCTGTCTGACAGCTTCTTAAGCTCTCCATATGCACGTATTTCGGTCTATTTATTTTTATGTCAGCTCACAGGTCTGACTTCCTTCTTCAATTCGCGGTATCTATTAAACCCCACGGTATTGTCGACCGCGACATTTCGAGCTAGGCAGTCTGATTTCTCTACGTTGCGACACGATAGTCTTCATCGCACTATGGTTCCTAGGACCACATCTTCTGGCCAAAATCGATTTCTAAAAGTGCCGATTTTTCGTCTATTTTTTTACCATCACTAAGCGTGTACTTCGCATGAGTTAATTGCATATTTTGCTTTCCCTTTAATCGGTTTACCGTTATGTGGTCAGCAGTTAAATTGTAACTTTGCCATTTGCTTATACAAGTGTTGAAATTTGGCTGAAACTCAAAACTGAATGTTTTATAAACAAATTAAAATTAACTAAAATAAAAAAAAAATGGGAACTAACAATAAAGGTAATTATATTTTGTTTCTCTAATATTAATACATTCAACTGTTGTTAAGTTTGAAAAAAATGTATTTAAATATTAACTTTGGCTTAAGTAATATTTTTCAACTTACGTAGAGCTTAAAAAAATTGATAGCAGTTGGTAGTCTTGGTACTTTGTGATTGTATAAATAACACAATTTGGAGTTTGTGTGCAAAAAATTATTTTGCTCTTTTTTGCGATTTTTGAAAAATTCACATTTTGCTTAGACCACTATTCCGTGCGATTTGCTGATTTATTTGAAGTATGGAAGGAGGAGGCAAACACATCTTAGACAGACAGCAGTTTTTGATTTTTTGTTAGAAAACGTTATTGCAATTGATGTTTTCGATGAATACACTGTCTATTTAAAGGGAAAAAATAGAATTATATGTAAATATATTAATAACAGATGGGGAAATAGTCATCGGCGTGTAGATGTATTTTTGAAACAAAATGCAAACTGGCTTTTAACAAAAACGGAAATAATGAAACCGGAGTTGTCATATTCTGTACTAAGCACATCAAAAGTAGGCCGTAAATCCCTTACATTTAATGAAAAATCTGCAAGAACGCAAAGAAGAGAAGCTGCGGAATTATCGAAACAGCAAGGCGACAATATTGACTTAATGGTGACCGCTGTGTCTACGCCTGCAGCTGCGTCTACGGCTATATAGATTTGGACTTTAAACAACTCAAATGGAATGTCTAAAATAAGAAAATTAGTAGAAAATAAAACCGACGAGAAATGACCAATTCGCATGTCTGCTGAAGAGGGTGGGCTTTCTTGTTGGAAAATAGCTTTATCAAACAACAATATATAAATAATCGAGAAGAAAGTCTTAGCCGAAATTGTGATATCTTTCCTTCTTACAAAGAGACCGAAGGAAATAGTAGTTAACGGAAATTTGGCAAAAGTTCCTTTGAAAGGATTGAACACACAGCAGAGAGGCTTAGTATACTAGAAAGAGATGTTATGGTCGCGGTGATGGAGGATAGGACAGAAATCTTTTTGAAAGTGGAGTTAATTGTAAACTATGGATTTGACAGCAGTACAGGTCATTCTAATTTCAAGCAGAAATATTCAACTGAATCACATGAAATCATTGATTTATCGCTTCTTGCCACTACAATTACTCCATTACGTATGAGTGACGAAAACGGCACAATTTTGTGGTACAATCGGACATCACAGTCTATACGATTTTGTCGTCCTTTAAAACTTGAGTATATTAAAGAAACAATAACTAAAGAAAACAAAGATATTAAAGCGGAACTGGACAAATTAGAGGTCTTTAAAATGAAAATTGAAGAAGAGAAAACAATTGAAATAAATTATAGGTTGTATTTGACGGCAATTGATGGAAAAGTGTTAAATGTGTTAACCGGAACAAAATCAACTCAACTGTAACGTCTCGGTTTACATGTAGATAAACCAAAAATTAGGGGATTTGGCAATACAAACGACGGAAATACTTCGCGCCGCGCATTTCAAAATCACGAATTATTTGCTGAAATTATTGGTATAAACAAGGAACTTATATAAAATTTAAATATAATATTAATATGTTTATCTTGCCAACTTCCATTAAACTTAGCAAAGTTTGAATTATTCTGCTTCCGGACCGAACAGCCGAATTAGCAATCTAACTGACGTGATTA